TCCCATAGGTACTGCTCCACCATCATTAGAATCTTTACTGGCCTTCTGCCCCAAAAATGAAACAACCTCTGAACGCATTTTGTCATGCGCGTCAAACCGCTGAATGTTCATCTCAATATGTTCTTCCAGATTCTCCGGAACCAACTGCAAAGAATCGCTCTTCGTGTATCGTCTGACGGTCTCGTTTGGCCCCTTCAAACATCGTCTGTAATATCTGACTCCCACCAATCCCACTGCGAACGAAGTGTGCTCAATGATGCCCTATATAGGAGGGTTCAAAATCATACGACGCACGGTAGTTTGTAGGTTCATATGTTTGACACAGACGTCGCAGAGCCACGTGCAGGTGTGCATCAATGGCGTCAATGTCCCTGATAGTAGAATTGCGCAAATCATGCTCCGTCACTGGGTCGTCAACCTTCTGCCGAGCCCTTAAGTTAGTCAGGTTTGCCAATTCATTTGATATCCACAACTCCTGGCTTGCTCTTCATGTCCCAATTGCAGGTTCTGAAGAATCTGTCCACGCATACTCTCCACTGCTGTTGCACCTTGTCCTGCAGTGGGTGATCCACTTGGTGATGCGAATGGTGACGCTGACACTGCCTCTCTTGGTAGGGCAACTGACGTGACAATCGGTCAGGAGTGATCGAGGGTACTCTTGCAAGTACCTCCCAAGGAATCCAAAGATCCTCTGGAACTTTCTTACTCCAACTTCCTCACCAATCGTGCCCCCCTGACCTTGAGATGTGCTGTTGCAGCACTTCTCGATGCAGGTTCCTCAGTCACCAAGAAAACTCGCTCTGGCTACCTGAATCTGAACCAGGTGGCTCCGCTACCATGCAAAGAACATATGAGTGAGTGTATCTCTCCTAAGCAACCACTCCAATCAAGCAGAGCGCAGCGGCTTTCTTTCTCACTTTTGGGCTCAACAGTTCCAATCCTACTCCACAGATGGAGTAAGTGAAAGGGGGGCTGCGGGACAACGTACACATGTCCACATGCAGCAAGCTACCTTACAATGGCTAGCAACTCTTAATGACTATACACCTCTACAGTAATAATGCAATATATATATATTACAGTGTGTATATATATACACAATTATATATTATATATATATATTGTATATTTAATATATAATGTACACGATCTGTCTCATCACAACAGCATGGCATTGCAACATATTGCAACTGCAATTCAGAATTATGTTTGAAAGAACCAATGTAGCAAGCTCCAGGGTTGGGGTCACTCAGTCTAAATGCAGGTTCTCCCACATCCGAGCTTCGCATGGGCTTTCGCACTTGCACTGGGCTTCGTGAGAGGCGAGATACCTCCGGATCACGAAAATGGGTGAGTGTCCGGGTGTATGAGCAAGAAAAAACAGCTGAATCGTACTTTGTGAGCCTAAGCTAGTTGAAAACAAAAAACAAAGAGGGGGGGCGAGTCTTGGCTTTTACCACGCGCAGGAACTCCCACAGAATTCAAAGTATTTTCCATTCCATGTATCCATGAAGGCTGTGACTCGGGAGATGTGGCCCAGGCTGGCTGGTGTGACCAAGTGATGGGCGCATGACTAACCCATTCCTACGAGCACAAGTTCAAACGATCATCCATGATCAACCGCCCAACCCGCCCATCCTATTGATCACACTGCGAATCACACTGCGTCACACCACCTCCCCGGCATCACGTTGCCCGCTACGCCGCGTTGTAGAACCCGCCTTGAATTGCTCCCCTCGGAGGGACAGCTCGCTCTCCGATGCGCCCGCGCCCATGCCCAGCAAGGTGCCCAGGGCATCGACCAACGCCTCAGGGGTCGTGGATGAATTCCACTCAGCACAAATTCTAAACCTTTCTAAACCCTCTTTTTGACTTTTGAACCCTCTTTCCTCCGCAGTTTTCACGACAACACTCACTCCCAGCGAATCTGGCGCCTTGGCTGCAGCCTCTGGTTGGAGATGTGTGGAATCCAAGTCAAAACACCGAAGCTTCATGGTGCGCTCCTCCATGCCTTGACTTCAGAAGCAGTGCGCACCCTCGGGCACATGTGGATGATGGCCTAGATTGTGGGTGTGTCTCAACTGAAAGGCCTCAGAACCTGGAAAAACAAATGCAACTACCTAGTAGGTAGGACCGTTTTACTCACAAGCAAAGAAAACACCAGCTACTAACTATTTCAGGACAATTCTTACGAAACTTCGCTGCTGAAAAAATAACCAAGTCCATCTTCATCTGGTGGAATTCAAAGGTCGTCCTATCCCAGACTCCTAGAGTCCTCCCAGCAAAATCCATGGATGTACCCCCCCCTTGAAGGAGCACCGCTGGAGTACATGGCTGTAAATCCTGATTAGGCCTTTGTAAAAGCAAGTAGATGTGACTCCTTCATGTGCACCAAACACTGATTTTCGCAGGAGTATCTGGCAGGTGTATTTCTTTACCACACTCAGGGCTAAGGTATTCTTGATTTTGCCCAAGAATTGTCAGGCTGACTCAGCATTTTTGCTCTGTCCAACCAACTGTGGTTGGATAAATAGTCTACCCGAAACAGGTTCATACATCTACGGATCCAATTTCTTCATGTTTCTTCTGTAATCAAAATTACACGACTACTACACTACACCAGGAGGAGCAAAGGCCTGGCTTTTGCTCATGGGTTCACTTACAAAAAGAGTGACGTGAGAGAGATACACTACAAAATCAGGAGGTGGGGGGATGATGCCAGTCGCAAATTTGATCAATTGTGTATGAAGTCACAAAACATAAGCATGATATTGTATCTTCGAAGCGGAAAGAGTCCTGCTATCGGAAGTCGGTATGAGTGAGTGGCTGCACGACTGTAGGACCACTTTGTAAGTAGGGATTTCGTAGGGTAGTATGCAGCTTCAGCCATTTTGTAAAGACTTAATGTTGAACCCCCCACTCTCACACACGTATTAGGCGTATTGCCGTACAAAACAAATTATGATGTCATCCATTTATGGAGAAACAACCAACCATCAAGGCAAAATGATGACAAAGAAAACATGTGTGACAAAAGGAATGTCTGGGACAAAATTGCACAGAGGAGATTGTGAGCAGATTGACAGATCTTGGAGTTTCGGACTTGTGGCAACATAGAGAAATGTATATTTGCTTATTTTCCCACAATGGGTTTGTGGAAATACATCTTATACTATAGGGTCGCAATTCTATCCCAAGCCTTGCTTCTACAAAGTGACAATTCCAATAACATAAGGCAAGCAGTGCTTCCAATTGCGTCTACAACAGCAAAAAAAAACTCGACAGAATGTATTTCTGAATGACCCTCCACATCATATATAACCAAGAATAACACATCTCTACAAAACCCACTGACCGAATGACCTCAACTGCATGTTAGTCATTGGCTACAAAATGACCTACCCATCTTTTTAGTGAAAACTGGTTTTCTGAAACAGTTGAAACCCCCATATCGATGCCAGGATCACTGATTCTATAGGAAACATTTAAGAGGGATTCCCTGGCACATGTCCTCCTGCCCCCACATGTCCGGCACTTGCCCTTCTCCCCTCCGTCCAGCTGCGGATGGTTCGCGCCAGCCCCCCAAAGGCCGGCGTGCAAATAGCTCCCCGGACCGGTGACATCGTCCTCGTGGGATCATTGGGCCAAATCTCAAGCATTGCTCTGCATTGGCTAATGGCCTCCACCCTCAGAGCGATGGCCTCTAACCTACTAGCGATTGCCTCC